CAGGACCAGTTTGGCTCAGTGGATAGAGCGTTGGCCTGCGGACTGAAAGGTCCCAGGTTCGATGCCGGTCGGGGGCGTGTGCCTGGGCTGCGGGCACATCCCCAGTGGGAGATGTGCAGGAGGAGGCTGATCGATGTTTCTCTCTCATCGATGTTTCTAACTCTCTATCTTTCTCCCTTCCTCTCTGTAAAAAACTCAATAAAATATATTAAAAAAAAAAAAGAATATAAATAAGGAAATGATTTCACCTGGTATGTTATCTTTGTATAAGTATTCAAATATCAAATTTCATAAGTAAATAATATACATATGACTTCCGTGCTAGTCATGATTCTTGCAGTGAAGAGATGAGTCTAGACTGGTAGCCTGTTTACTTTCTTACACACCTGTTATGTATTGAATTGTGTGTTGAAGTCTTAATCCCAATATTTAAGAATGTGACCTTATTTGGAGGTAGGGTCTTTACAGAGGTAATAACTATTAAAATGAGGTCATGAGAGTAGGCTATAATGTAATATTATTGGAATTCTTATAACAAGGGAAAATTTAGACATGTATACAGGGAGAATGCCATGTGAATGTGAAGATGGCTATCTGTATGTCCAGGAGTGAAGCCTGGAACAGATCCCTCCCTCGAAGCCTTCAGAAGGAACCAACTCTACCAACACCTTGAGTCCAGACTTCCGGCCTCTGAAACTATGAGACAGTAAATTCTGTTGTTTACATTTCTGTCCCCTGCTAGTGTGGCTCAATGGTTGAGCATCAACTCATGCACCAAGAGGTCATCAGTTCAATTTCTGATCAGGGCCCATTGTGGGTTTGATCCCCAGTAGGGGACATGTAGGAGGCAGCTAATCAATGTTTCTCATTCTTGTTTCTATCTCACTTCCTCTCTAAAATCAATAAAAACATTTTTAAAAATTTCTCTGGTACTTTGTTACAGCAGCCCTAAGCAAACAAATATACCACCACAGAGCTAGAACTTACTTGGAAGATCTACTCAGAGGCCCAGGATAACTTAACTCACTACTTGCTTCCTATGTATAGAATGACATTGACCAGTATACAGGAATTCCCAGATTTGTGATCAAGAAATTAGTTCATTGCCAAACCGGTTTGGCTCAGTGGATAGAGCGTCAGCCTGCGGACTCAAGGGTCCCAGGTTCGATTCCGGTCAAGGGCATGTACCTTGGTTGCGGGCACATCCCCACTGGGGGGCGTGCAGGAGGCAGCTGGTCGATGTTTCTCTCTCATTGATGTTTCTGACTCTCTATCTCTCTTCCTTCCTGCTCAGGAGCCCAGGTATAGGGGACAGTTAGGTTCAGGGCCTCAGGTCTGGTATGGTTAAGAAGTATACCAGTTAAAGCCCTTGGCTGAAACCACCACATGATCCTTCTTTATTAAGGTAGAGAACAGTTTACTATAGCCTGATAAAGAAAACTCATACTCTTGCCCTATCCTGTTTGGCTCAGTGGATAGAACAGCCGTGGGCAAACTACGGCCCGCAGGCCGGATCCGGCCCCTTTGAAATGAATAAAACTAAAAAAAAAAAGACTGTACCCTTTTATGTAATGATGTTTACTTTGAATTTATATTAGTTCATACAAACACTCCATCCATGCTTTTGTTCCGGCCCTCCGGTCCAGTTTAAGCACCAATTGTG